GCGACAAAGCAAGGCGAGTGTGCAGGGCCCCAGCCGCCATCCGTCTCCCGGGAAGCCTTGCCAAGAGCTCTTGTATAAGCTTCAGTGAGCTCGTATGTTGTCACGCCCATCCGTGGATCCTGGGCTTCAGGACCAGGGGTTAGGCTAGAGAAGGGAGCTCAAAGAGATTGTGTTCGTCCAAAGAGGGGGTACTCTGGGAAGAAAATGTGCTCCTACTCAGGAGGATGAAAACAATTTTCATTTCTGTGGCAGCCATCAGAGACTGGCATTCCTCATGGCAGCAATATCAGGAAAGGAGAAGGTGATGCTTGTTTTTATGAACCCCAAGGTGTGGGGGGAAGGGTATTGGGGTGAGAAGCTTAATGAGTCAAAAGCTATGTAGCTGTGCATTGGGGTATACATAGAGAGTTCTTTCTCTTGGAGTGTAGAAAGCCAAAGGGTAGTTAGGTGTCCTAACTGCCAGCTGGGATTCAGGCTTTGGTTAGGTACCAGGCCTGCTTTCAGTTGTTGCTGCCACCTAGGCTGTTCTTGAATGTGAAACTCACTTCATATATTGGCTGAGACAGGCTGAGTGTTCTGGTACCTGCTGGCATTTATTTCACCTGCTTCTCTTTTGTTTGGCAGAATTACTGAGCTGGTGGATTTTTGCAAGCAAACTAACTTGCCACCTCACCCACCATATTGTCCAGAACATCTGTGGTCAGTCTGCCTGGACCTCACTGGCCAAGCACAGAGCACATGGAGTGATACCTGCTTCCTTACACTTCACCTGTGAAAATGCTCTGTCACTCACAAAAGTGAGTTGATGCTTTCAACCAGGTTTCCTAGACATTCTCTTGGGGGTTGACCTACTTCCAGTTCTATCCCAGTGAAGGAGGAGGCTCTTGTTGTACATGTCAGTAGCCTGCCCCTCCCCCAAGTTAGCTTCATAGTCTTCACATTTGGGGCAAAAACTGTAACTGTTTTTTAATATGAATAAATGAATCTGCAGATAGGATGTTTTACTGTTTTACCTGTCCACGCCAGGCTGTACCCAGCCTTTCTGTAACTATGCTTTAAACTTTTATTTCAAAAATAAGAACATGCATTGTTCAGGTGAACGCAGTACTTTGCATTTTCTCTCTGCCATCATTAGCACTTATAGCACTTCCCCATCTTGTGTCTTTTGAGAAATTTAATATGCTGTTTGCCACCTTCTTTCCAGTTCAATTAGGAATGTTTTGAATGTGGCAAGACTTTCCTTGGGTTCCACCCAAAACTTTCTCTTAATAAGTCATAGTATGCTGTCCTGCTCAATTTCTAGTGTGGCTAGTGGATTCAGTCAGTTGAGAAAGGACCAAGCTCACCAGCACAACACTCTGAGCTCTTCCTCCAGCAACATAGGTGATACACATCCCTTTCAGCACAGTGTATGCATAAGTATTTTCGTTTGAGATGTCATGGTATTTATTTATGGTTTACTTTAAGATATTTTAGCTAAAAATTGAAACAAAAAATGGCAAAATGATAAAAATTGTTGAATCTAAGTGCTCGTATATAGGTTCTCATTACACTCATAGCTCTATATGTTTGAAATTTTTCTTTTTCTTTTAACTTGTAAGGTTATATTTTTGCTCTTGAAAATTTTCTTAATAAAAAGAAATTATTCCCAGATGTTTTAATTCCAGAGTATATTTAATCTGGGTGAGAGAAACTTCAGGAGGCTAACAGGGAGGAACGGGGTTTGGGAACTGTTTAGTTCTCTTAGGCTTATTATCATTGCTTTAATGTCTGGTGGTAGCAGAGCATGATGACAGCAACCCCCAAACAGCAATTCAATGGCATTTTCTATTATTAACGCACTTCATGATGGGTCTCCAAGTTAAAAGAAATAGTTTTCAGTCTTTTTTCCTCAAGGATATTGGGGAAAGAGGAAATATTTACCAGGAAAATATTTCTTTCCTTGCAGATCATGCCATTTTATGGTAACCAAGTGGTACCAGTTTTCTTAAGAAAATATGAACACAAAAAAGTTCATTCATTATATCTCTCTGGAATCTTCTGGATTGCCACTCATATTGTGGGGTTTATAAATATTTCCTTTCATGTTATCTAAGGTAAATATAAATTACTCCCTTATTATTCCCTCATCTGGTAATTCCTGCTAATATTCCACTTCAAAAAGAATTTTTTAAGGAAAAATTTGAACTTTTTGCCTCATTTAGAAGCAGCCTTTTACCCCAAGGTATGATTCACCCAACAGACTTTTTAAAGGACACATCGAATCTTCATCCTATTTTAGATATCAGTTACTAAATTCTGCTTAAATTCTAGTGTTTGACTACCTGACCCTGGGTCACTTGCACTGAATGTTAGTATGGTCTGGTCTCTGTGTATCTTTTAACATGATTTTTAATATTATGTGAATACTGTGATTGGGTGGAGGTCTTGAAGTGTTCATTGTTGGCTGTTCTGAGTAGTGTCTTTACAATACGGTCCAGGTGGTGCCTTGGAGAGGAGCTAAGAAAAAGGCGGGTAAGTGTGCATGGATGGGCCTTTTAATGCCCAGATCTGGAACTCCTCAGTGTCCTCTGCTGCCAAAGGAATGCTGTTTCTCATTTCAGCTCTGTGGAAAAGGGAGAAGAGAGACTTGGATTTCTAATTTGAGAAGGAAGCAAGTTGGACACAGGGGATTGGTTTTGGGGAGCAAATCCCTTGATCATGCTAGAAGCTCAGAGGAACTGGCCATGGCACTGTAGGCACGGACCTGGGCTTTGAAGGTAGATACTCTCACATCTGAATTCTGGATCTGTCTCTTTGGGATTTACTTTCTTTCCCAGTTTCCTTTAAACCATATAGCACTGACTTCATAAAGTTCTTCTGAAGTTTAAAAGTAGCCTTAAAAAATACTAGGTTTTAGACTGGACAATTATAGTTGTTATTTAATAACAAGTTCATCAATGCATGGACATTTTTATTTAACAATTAACTTAAAGTTCTTTTTTGAAAAGACTCATTTTTTTTTTCTTTCTTCATTTGGACTGTTGTGTTCATACTCATTTTCTTGTCCAAATAAATCTGTTAAAATACCCAGTTCTCTGTCTCTTTTCATCTCTTGAATCTTTATCTTATTATGATGTTCTCTGTTGTAACTTCACTTCTGTACTGTCTTTTTATTCTGTCAGTCCTGACCCGATCTCTAAGAAATAGATTGAAATATTTCTTTCTTTCCAAGTTGAATTTCGTATTTTCTGAATCATGGAGCTGCCCTCCATGTGACCTAGAAAGCCCTTTGATGATCCATATTTAGCTGTATCCATCATTCAACAGATGTCTGGGTAGTTAAAGGCCCCCATGAGCTCCCTCTACATCCTGTGGTTTCAAGTTCCTGAGTTGTTAGTTAAAAAGCTTTCATGCCTTTTACTCCCCTTCCCCTACCCATTCCAGGGTAGAAGAATAGATACCGACTTTAGCTGCTCATTCATTTAATACATACTTACTCATTACCTACTCATATGCTTGAGAGAGGGTTAGATATTATCCTCTTTGCTTCTTCATCATATTTTCCTAATTTGACCCATTTAGAGTAGTCCTCCATGTTTTCTGATTATTTTTCTAGAGTCTGCATTGCTCATCCAATCAACTGGTCTCTTCTGTCTGCAGTGTTTCTTGATCTCTGGGAAACTTGGAAGCTTCACAGCAAACCCTGGTACCTTGCTACAATGCACCTGTCATTGCATCCACAGCTTTCAGGATGACACAGGTTTATTGCAAACTCCATCTAAGGAAGTTTAATTAGCAGATGAAACTGCAGAGTTCTGCTTGCTGCCCTACCTCACTGACATGAAGAATGAATAACGAAGTGGTAGCAAGCATGTTAAACAGCTAATTCCCCCCAAACTTTGGTCTTTTGTGTTTCTGTAGTTTTCTGATGCCCATGAGGAAAGAAGTCTCTCTGCTTTTTGAGCTCCCTGGATCTTCCTATTAGATAGCATCTCTTGGCATCTGAAAGGCAGCCTGCCATTCTGTTCTCCTGTGGAACACAGATGGCCCAGCCCACGCCTATCACTAATGAGGATCACATGCAGAGCTTTCTTGCGGGAGGCTCCCTTCAAAAACCCTAGTCCTTTTTCCCTGTGCAGGCCAGTAACTGTTGACCATGGCATTTAAGTCTGAGAAGTTTGTTTGCTTCCCACTCAACGAACTGAGCAGAAAATCTATTAGGTAGGCTCTGGGAAATGAGTCCCATCTAGTCTGAATTTGAAACACTGAGGATTAAGAATGACTGCCAGTTTGAGTGCAAGGGTGAGGTTTTGGGGTCCAGCTGTCCACAGAGGCTGTTGAGTTTAAAGATGAGAAACACTAGAAATTCTTCAGGAGGAACATGATTAGATGGCTAGATAGAGGTTCACCAGATAGGAGACCAATTTGCCAGTGCCAGCCCTGTAATCTCACCCAGGATGATGGCTGGGTTGAAAATAGTTAAAGAATGTTAAAGTACTAAAATATATAAAAACATTTTGATGTGCGACAGACCCATGTCAAGTCTTTGTCATACTACTTGTTATCTGTTTGGCTTTTGGACAAGGTATTTTACCTCTCCATGCACTTATTCCTTTATTTGTAAAATAAGTACAAAGCTCACATCATGGGTTGTTCTGAGCATTAAAAGGGATAGCACATGAAAAGATCTTGATACCTTGCCCTGCACCCAATAAACAATAGATGGGAGTTTACTTTCCTAGCTCTTTATCCTATGTGCACTCCAAATGTGGTGGGACATCAGGGTGAATTAAATACAATGCCCCCATGTGAAATTCTATACAATTCTGCTCTCTTGTTTTATCTAAAACTCAAATTTTTATTTGCCACATGGGATAATTTTTTTTCTCTTGCTATTGCAAGTTGGGTGCAGGTCTGTCATTTGTGACTAGAAGGGTTCCATATTGTCAGTATGGGACCCAGTAGAAATGAAGCTCTCTTTTGGTTTTAATACTATAACTCATTCCTTTAACTTTCAGAGCTACCCAGGAGAGATCGCTGTTACCAGTAATTGCCCTGGAGGGTGCCAGTGAGTCGGATCAATCCTGCCACATGTAAGTATGGTCGAACTAGTCAGTACCCACTGACCCGGAAATCTCTATGGGACACTCCTCATTCTTTCAAAAAAGAAGGGACACTGAGATAATGCTGTTCTAAAGGAAGTAATAGACCAATTGACATAGCATTGATGCCTACAAAACAGTTTCTATGGGTTTTAGGACAATGTGGCTCATTCACTGCTTGTTCCCTACCCAATCAGGTCAGTTTTTTCTATTAGAGCAGGTGGTTGTTCATTTCTCCAGAAGGTATACTAGGTCACCTTGACCTCTCCGAAACTGTATTCTTTAGACCGGGGTCTGTTCCCTGGAGCCACACAGATGAAGGCCAACCCTTCGTTGCTATGTTTCCCCTTTAATTTTCCTCTAATCCCTTCCTTACTCAGGGGACAAAGAGACCAGATCGCTGGTTCTTGATTGAGGGGAAAAATAAAATTAGTTAATTAAATAGAAGAAAGTAGAAAGTGTGTTAAGAATGAGGGCTTTTTGTCCTAGAAAAGTACTTTTTGTAATATTATTACAAAGGTGGTTACTTGCGTGTTCCCATCTCCAGAGGGAACAAAAAGCAATGGTGGGCTCATGGCAGTGCTTTTATAGCTGTTGACAAACAGACGCCTCTGTGGTCCTTTACTGTGAGCTCTTAGTGTTAAGCCTCTCTGTGTGCCTCCAAGAAGGGGATTTGGTACTTGACCACAGCACTCTTTTGTCAAGGAGCATCTTTGTGAAACATATTTTTAGAAATTATTATATCAGATATGCTGCAAAGACTCCAACTAAACTTTTGAAATAACTTCCTGGTTATTGGTTATTGTTGGATCCTGGAACTGGTGGCCAAGGAACACTATGAAGTTTCCTTCCTGGGAGGGTTGGTAGAGTCTTCCTCCTCCCTTCTCTCCTCTTAGTACTAGCTTTAGGTACCCACTTGTCTGTGAGTGTTGAGGTGTAGACCTGTGACATAGGGAATCTTGAGTACAGAGCCTTCCCATCTCTCTGATTCTATTTCCATGGATCCAAATTGTGGTAGTGTTACAAGGAAGGTAGAGCCTAACTGGGACAGGAGGTAACTGAGGATTTTGGCCAAGAGGAGAGGGGGCTAAAGATGGGAAAAGTTGATGCAATTATTTTTGGCAGGAGTTAGAACCAAAGCAGCAGGAGAGAGTAAGTTTTAAGACTCCCTGGCAAAGTAACTTCCTAATCTGTCACTGAGTATGTGTAAAAAAGTGATTAGTGAGTCTCTATATTTATCATGATTACTCACAAATATGTAATTTACATAATATATACAGCACATTAAGTACTATGTCACCTTATATAATGTGCATATGTATAATATATATGCATGTTATGTAACGCCAGTCTGGAGGTTCTTCCAGGTTCTGCCAAGTATTTCCTAATTTATTTGGCAATTTTAACATATCTTTTCCATCTGTGGAAAGAACTCTCTTGAGAGGAGCTGGTCTCTGACCTGAAATATAATCATCCTGCTTAGTCTATCTCCATTCTCAACTCACTGGAGGAAACCCACAAAGACCAAGCCATAATGAGATGCAACTCCCAGCCTATTAGTCCAGGAACAAAACAGTATATTGAAGATTTCCTGTTCCATTCTTTTTATTGCTAGTGGGATAGAAGTAGGGGGGAGGGTGAGAACAAGTCTGTAGCATGGTTAGGGTCAGAATAAGATGAGGAATAGGGGATGGGATTCTCTTCTGACTGCCTAACTGTGTGACGTGGAAAAGTCACTAAACCTCATTAAGCCTCATTTTCTTCATTATGAGGACTGAGATAATAATACCTTCTCTACCAGCCTCAGAGGTCACTGTAATGAGGTGCTCTGCACTATGATGAGGTAATAGACAGTAAGAACCCACAGTCATAGTAGTTAAGGAATGAATTACAAGGTCAGATTAAACAATACTAGACTTACTGAGTTACAAAGTCAGAAGTGCAATTTCATCGAAGTTTGTTATACCCTGTGACTCTAAGGAGGACTTGGGGAGAGTATCTCAAGCAACACTGCAAGGGCAGAGAATTGTGAATCTCTGAGAATCATTTTCACATGTTGATAAGTGCCAGGTCTCAACAGCCTCAATCTTGGAGGGTCAAGGCTGAAATACATGCAAAAACTAGAATCGGTTGCCCTAACCTGCCTTAGTTTCAGAATCAAGTGGCTTCCGAAGGAGTACCTGTTGTCATTCTGGAGCTTGTCGGTGCCATCACCGAGGAGTGCATCAGTAAGGATGTTCTTCAGGTGGCCTGGTTTATCCCTGGCCCAGTATTCTTTGCTGTTAGGTCGAGCTGGATGGTCCTAGCTCTCCATCCTAGATGGTCCTAGATGATTGCTTCCTTCAGAGTTGGGATCAATTTTACACACAATCTTAATTTGTCCAAAGCTCCTGAGCTAGTCCAAGGAGATTAGAGACAGCTCAGTGGAGCAATGTTGAACAGGCCCAGGTTTCCTCTTGAGAAATCTCAGAGGGGAATAGAAGCCTGAGGAAGTAAAGGTGCTGAGGCAAATGTTTCCTTTACCAACGAAACTCCACACACTTGCCCTAGGGTTAAGAGGGCCATGCTGGCGCCAGCTGAGTAATGCCCATTGAATTCTGTCCGAGGCCCCTCCAGGTACTGAGTGGCAGTACCTTGCAGAAAGTGCCTGAGTCCTCCTTGTGACTCCCCACTGAGGTCATCCCTACAGCCAGGAGTGTTTCCAGAATAAGAGACTATGGTGACCATGATGAGGTGACAGGTGGAGTATTTAATCTGATGATCTGTCTAGTGCCTTCAACATTGACCAACTTCTCAGGCCAGAGAGACCCTCTGGGAAGCACGAGGAGGCCCTCATTCTCTTGTGGGAGTCTCTCTCAGCCACATGTGTGCTGCATATTCATTCTTGCCTGGCAATCTGCATCCAAACACAATCATTTCTCGGTGACCAGAAATGACCATCTATACCAAGATGTGTGGATTCTTGCCTCTGTTCATTATCATCTCAGTGGCACCTATTCCAAACCATGAGCCAAGATACAAAGTCTCTTAACTTTTCCAGGACTCAGTTTCCTTATCTGACGAGAGGGAGAGTAATTTCTGGCCAGCACATCTTTCATGCTTGTGTTGAAGCTCCAGAATAGGAATTCTTAGTCTTTTTATGACAAGAGTTACTTTCACTTCCCTTAAATCTCATGATCACCATGGGGAAATGTGTCTTGACAATGAAATGGAGGGATTGGGGGGGCGGGGGATAAGAACGTTCTTCTGTTTTGTTCCTATACTACATATTTTTTTTTCAATCAGGAAAAGTCCATCAGTAAATAAATATTTATATCTATATAAATATATATGCTACAGATATGTACACATATATCAGACCATCAGAAGGGTCTTCACATCATATTCTGGGAGTAGTCGGTGCAGAGAGGCAGGAGGGAATTGCCTGATCGTTTGTCTCCTGGTCTCCTCAGCCAGAGGCCCTTCCCTCCCATCTTTTCTGCCTTCAGGAATAGTCTGTCACCAGGGCTTGGAACTCAAACAGGAAACACGCTTTGGCTTGAAAAAGAAAGAAGCTGGGGGTGGTTTTTTTTTTTTTCTTTCCTTTTTACACAATATTATGACACCAATTTGAAAAATAAATCCCAGTTTCTCTGCCTTCCCTCCCAGGTGTTCACAGAACTAAGAAAATAAATACCACATCTAAGGTGTGCCTTGCAGGCAGCTCTGGGGGCTCTTGGAGCCGTTTCTAAACAAACACACAGCCACCAGGAGAAGGCTTTGGGAAAATAACAAGTGCCCACTGACAGCGCAGAGAACCAGGAATGGAAACACAGCTTTCCACAGCCTTTCTGCCTCCTCAGCAAGTTCAGGGAGAAGCTGTAGCTCGAAGGGCAACCTAGGAACCATAGGCGCTTGCTGAGCCCTGCAAGGGCTGTTCTCTGAGTGTCGGAGGCATTTTATCTCTGTACAGAGAGACCTTTGTGCAAGCTCTCTGGAACGGGAGCCTTTTCCCTTGGCCACATCCGATCTCACCGTAGGCAGGAAACCTGCAGCCTGCTCCTTGAGAGTGTCCATGAAGAAACTTGCAGGACTGGTGGAAAGAAAGATTTTCTCTTTCAGTCTCAGAAAGTCCCACTCAAGGCCTTCTGGGGTGGTGGAGGTTGCTGCATGTGCCAACCATACTCTGGTGGGCCCTGGTTCTGTTGGGGGTGTTTCCACTGTAGAAATAAAATGAATGGCAAGGTGAAGGTTTCTTCCTGAAGGGTGGCTTTGCTTCCACTGGTTAGAGAAGAGTGTGTGTGTTTGTGTGCTTGTGTGTGTGTGCATGTGTGTGTGTGTTTTACAGTTTCTTGTTTTTTCTCTTAGAGTAACTGGCATTTTATACATTGCTTAGTCTTTTGAACGGCTCTTCCTTCTCAGAGAAAAGAAGCTGCTCTTCTGGGGAGGCCCCATCATCATGGGTGCTTGGTTCTTGTGAGTAATTTTAATCTAAAAGCAAAGAGGCAGAGATGAATTAGTAGCATGCACATCCCAGTAGTCTATGGTATAGTGAGTCGCAGAGAGAGCAGGCAGGCCCAGCTTTGGGTTAGAAGGAGCCCCATGCAGAAGGACGACTGTCCTTGAACAGCTTCAAAATTGGCAACTGGACCCTGACTGGGCCTAGAGTTTGGCAACTGGAAGTGAGGGGCGGAAACACTGGGGAGAGACAGGTGTAAGCTTCCTACGTGGTGATCAACTTGCACCTGTCTTGTGTCCTTGCTATTCATAGACTTTCAGAATGTCACAGCCAGATGAGACCTTGGGGACCATCTCAGTCAACCCCTCTGCAGGATGGATAAAGGGATAGAAGCCCAAGGCTCTGTTGAGTCTTAGCTTGGCTGAAGGCCACACAGAGAGAGGCAGACAGCTACAGGCTGATTCTTCAACTCCCACTGCTTCTGGCCATTTCTGGGCAGGCAAGGCGGAGATGTCAATCAGTAACTCAAGGTTGAGTTCAGTCTGACCTCTGACCCAAGCAACACCAGGTGGAGAATTTCCCAATGAATACATAGGTATTTTTTTAGTCTGCCAGGGAAGACCCAACTTTCTTTTAAAAGCATATATAGTTTTTTTTAATTTTAGTTTTTATGAATATTTTCTCATGCAAACTTTTTTTTTTAGATTTATTTATTTATACAAGAACTGGGGTATAGGCCTGAGGTGCGGGAGGTGAGAGAATTCACCAGAGACAGAGTGGGGAGCAGAACAGGCAGATGACTGAAAACACTGCTGAGGGGAACAGTGGGCAAGACAGGAGAGGTCTGCCATGCCATGTGGGTATCTCCCTGGCCGGCTGGGAATCAAACCTGCGCTGCACAGGCTGTGGTCAGCTTCACAGCACTGCGCTCAACCTGCTGCGCCACCAAGGAGGCCTTTCTCATGCAAACTTTAAGTCAATATCTTGGAAGTGGAAGACTGGTGAGTACTTACTTTGCCTTCTTCCCAATCTAATCCTAGAGGATGGCATCAAAATGCTTGATCCCTATTCGAATGTGACCTGGTGACATTGATGCTTACATAATCTGCACTGACTGCATTATTAGTCCATCAATAACACTTATCAAATATGACATGTTCACAATAGGAAGATGATGTGGGAACAAGAATCTAAGACCTGCATTTGGGTCTCCAAAGACCTATATATATATATCTCAGTACTGGAACTCTGTTTTGCTGTGAGCCTCTGGATAAATCATTTAATTTTCAAAACTAGGGCTTGCTCAACTGTCAAATGAAGATAATAACATTCACCCTATTTTTCTCACCAAGTTGTTGTGAAGATCAAATGATAGACTGTCAGTGTAGACTGTAAAATGGAAAGTGTGAACAAGTTTATTAAATTAATGTGGGATAAGTCAAGTAGTGTAAGAGCTAGGTAAGGAATGCAAAGAGTCTAAATGTAGCATTTAAGAAGAATTTTAATTTTTGAAAGGAAGGGAGGGAAATGTGTTGGTGAAAAGAAAAGACAAAAAAAGGCTATGGGCAGAGGGGCCAAATATAAACCTCACATTTGAGGTAAAGGATGAGAAGTGAGGTCAGGGATACAGATGAGTGACTGGTACAGGGGTTTAAAAGGGGTTTTAGCCACAGATTTATGGTCAACTCATCTTTGACAAAGGAGCAAAGAATATGCATTGGAGCAAAGAAAGTTTGTTCAATAAATGGTGCTGGGAAAACTGGGTTGCTACATGCAAAAGAATGAAGCTTGACCACTACCTCACACCATATACAAAAATCAACTCAAAATGGATTAAAGAACTAGACATAAGACCAGAAACCATAAAATACATAGAAGGAAATATAGGCGAAACACTACGTGATATTCACATCAAAGACATCTTTACAGACACATCACCCAAAGCAGTGATAGTGAAGGCAAAGATAAACAGCTGGGACTACATCAAATTAAAGCGCTTCTGCACAGCAAAAGAGACAATAACAAAAACAAAGAGAAACCCCACCGACTGGGAGAACATTTTTGCACACAACACTAATGATAAAGGACTGATCACAAAAATCTGCAAAGAGCTGATGAGACTTAATAACAACAAAGAAAATAATCCAGTCAAAAAATGGGCAGAAGAGCTAAAAAGAAACTTCTCTGAAGAGGAAACGCAAATGGCCAACAGGCATATGAAAAAATGTTCAACATCACTTGTAATCAGGGAAATGCAAATCAAAACTACAATGAGATACCATCTTACACCAGTGAGAATGGCACATATTAAAAAAACTAACTAACAACAAATGTTGGTGAGGATGTGGAAGAAAGGAACTCTCCTGCACTGTTGGTGGGAGTGCAAATTGGTCCAACCACTATGGAGAGCTGTGTGGAGATTTCTGGACCTACTAAACATAGAGCTTCCATATGATCCAGCAATTCCACTCCTAGGTATTTACCCAAAGGACACAGAAACATCAATTCCAAAGAGCACCTGCACCCCTATGTTTATAGCAGCACTGTTTACAATAGCTAAGCTTTGGAAACAACCCAAATGCCAAAAATAGATGACTGGATCAAGAAGATGTGGTACATATACACCATGGAATATTACTCAGCATTCAAAAAAGATAAACACATGCAATTTGCAGCAACATGGATGGTGCTGGAAGGGATCATGCTCAGCGAAATAAGCCAGAAAGAAAAAGAAAAATACCGGATGGTCTCACTCATAGCAGGAATCTAGAAAACTTAAATAAGGGACCAGGTAAATGAATAACTATAAGAAAGTGAAAATCAAAATCAACAAAAAACTATGAACCAGAGACACTCTATGGGAGGTGGGGGGGTGGGGAGGGGAGGGATTGGGGTCAAAATAAGGGGGTTGCAATTGTATGGGGAATATAAAAATAAAATTCATTTAAAAAATAAAAGGGGTTTTATTGGGGAAATAGTAGGGAACATGCTAACTTTTTCAGTTGGAGAATAACATACTGGAAAAAGAATTTGAGGGAAATAATTCAACAGCTGTTTTAGGGAGAATTGGAGTAGGGGAGAGTCTGGCTAAGAAGGTAGTACTGCAAGCCAGGTTTAAATTTATAAGGCCCAGAATATGGAAAGAAAAGGCTGGAATCAAGATATATGATGGGGAATAAGCATAACTTGGTTAATGGGAGCTGAAAATGATTCTGATTTTTTTTTTTCCAGGCTGGAGATTGAGAAGTGGAAATCTTTTTGTTTTGTGGTCACCAGAGAAGCAAACCAATAATCCATGAAACACCATTTTGTGTTATATTCCTATAGGCATTGTGTTTCTTCCTGAATTCATGGGAGAGGCATAGACTGGGAATTCTCACAGTATTTATCTTTGCACGTGATTTTGCATTATCTGATGATTGTTTGGTCATTGTACTAGCCCTTCTTTCTTTCCTAAGCGTATGAGCCCCATGTTGAAAAGGACTTCATCTTCTTCCCTGGGCCAGCACAGTGCCCATTCAGAGTTCATGCTATAGATGGACCAACTGATTAGCACAACCAAGAGGAGAGAAGGCATGTTGTGGAAGAGATGGCTGTGTTTGGGGCAGACAGCAGCTGTTAACTTTGGGAATTTTTTTTTTCCAGTTTGTTTCTATGCCTACATGTTTTTAATAAAATTAAAATCAGTTACTTACTCTGTTTTAACTTTATTTTGCATGCATTTCCAATATCACTAAATATTTATTAAATATGATTTTCAATGGCTTAAAATTATTCTAAATCTGATGAATGTCATAAAGATGATTTAATCCATTCCCTAAATGTTGAACTTTTAGGTAATTTTCTTTCTTTCCATTTTTTTGCTATTTTGAATGATATAGATATTGGCATTCTTACATGTCCATTTCTTTATATATATATATATATATATATATATAAGTTATTTATTTATTTAATTTATTCATTTATTCATTTATTTATTTATACAAGCACTGGGTACAGTCGGAAGCGCGGGAGGGTGAGAGAATTCACCAGAGCCAGAGTGGGGAGCAGAGCAGGCAGAAGGACTGAAGTACACTGCTGAGGGGAGCAGCGGGCAGCAGGAGAGGTCTGCGCGCCATGTGGGACCCTCCTCCGGTGGCTGGGGAGCAGCCGGGGATCGAACCGGCGCTGCAGAGGCTTCCGGGCAGCTTCACAACCCAGCGCTCAACTGCTGCGCCACCAGGGAGTCCTCTTTTTATATTTCTGATAAACTTTACTTTTCTTAGAATAAGTTCTTTGAAGAATATGAGCAATTTTAAGGGTGAAGGCAAATGAACTGGATCAATGTATATTAATATTTGTAAAGGTCCTAATGATACACTGCTCCAAATGCTTCTAGAATAATTGTACCAATTATACTCCTGCTTCACTGACTGAGCTAGCTTCACCACACCCTTGTCAGCAAGAAATATTATCTTTTTTTAAAAAAATTTATTTATGCATACAAGAATTGAGGTACAGGCCAGAGGTGTAGGAGGTGAGAGATCACCAGAGACACAGTGGAGAACAGAAAAGGCAGATTGACTGAAATAGACTGCTGAGGGGAGCAGCGTGCAAGTCAGGAGGGGTCTGCTGTGCCATGTGGGTTGCTCCCTGGCAGGGATTGAACTCATGTTGCAGTGGCTGCAGATAGCTTCATAGTGCTGCATCTTAACCCCTTGCACCACCAATATTTGTAAAGTTCCTCATGATACACTGCTCCAAATGCTTCTAGAAAAACTGTACCAATTATATTCCTGTTTCACTGACTGAGCTAGCCTCACCACACCCTTGTCAGCAAGAAATATTATCTTTAAAAGAAAAACAAATTGTGTTGATTTGATAAGTGACACATGGCATGGCTTTCTACTTTCCTTTGAAATTCTTCCTCCCTTCTCCCTCTTTTAAGACTTGTTATAATAAATATTTTTTTGTAGCTCATGGCATCCCTTCTGTGAATTCTGTTCATTATTATGTTGATATTTTCTCCTGCCAGTTTCTAGGAGCTCTTTATACATCATGGGGATTAACCTGTTTTTTAAGATGACTATTGCAAACATTTTGTCCTTAGTCTTTTAAATACCTACATTGAATTTTTACTTGTAGAATTTAAAATGTTAATAAACATGTCACTTTTTTCTTAGAAAGTTTATGCTCACAGTGTGATTATAGTCACCTGCCCTCCTACTGCCCCCCTATCCTGATATAACACTTAATACCTTAATGGGATGGGAGTGAAGTCAGAAGCTGATATATTGATATAATGACATTTTCATAAACGGGACATTTCTTGGATACCTTATGTTAAACAGTCAATTTCTTTCCAAGTAGTTTATGTTCTTTTTCTTTTCCTTCATTAGTTTTTATGTGTGTTAAATTTTCTTAGGGCTTTTTTCTGTACTATTGATTTATCTATCCAATTGTGGAATTATTGTTGCTGTATAACTATTGAATATCTCCTAGTAAGTCCTTCCTTCCTGTTTTGTTATAAAATGCCTTAACTACTGTTTGTCAAGTAGAAACAACAATTGTATTGGGATTTTGTTTGAGATTCCTATTTAGAAACATGGTTTCTAAATTGTTTCTATATTCAAAAATGTTTTCATATTGGCTAAGTCTTCTTGTCATCCATTTTTTCACATTTTTATGTTTTACTTTTTTGTTGTTGTTATTATGATAGTGTAACTTTTTTCCATTATATTCTTCTGAATGACTGAGGTGTATACAGAATTTACTCAGTTTTGCTTATCTCTTCATAGGGCTTCATTGAGCTAACTAATACTATGAGGTTTTCAGTTGATTCTATCAGCTTTCTATACGTACATTATCTCATTTGCAAATAATAAGTTTGAGTCTTTTTCAATTAGTGATATTTCTTTTCTGCTTCATATACTGCACTGGTTAGAATTTCCAAACAATATTATCATATACGTCTTGTCCGTGATTTAAATGAAAATTCTGCTAATGTTTTATTATTAAGTCAAAAATTATTGTTTTCAGGTATTTTTAACTATTTGGAGAGACTACCTTTCTTGATCTTAGTTTTTCTAAGAATTTTTACCTTTAATAACCAGAAATGTGGAATATAATAGAATATTTTAGGGTCATCTGTTCAATTTATCATGTAATTTTTCTATTAAACTTATGTTAGAAGATTTTCTTGCATTCCTTTTCTTGAGGAGTAAAAATTCTTTTACTATATTGCTCAATTCTATCTACCAATATTTTAACTAGAATTTTTGTATGATGTTTGTTTGAGATTTATGTGTAGTTTCCTATTTTTAAGTACAATTTTTGTTAGGTTTTTGTGTTTGTCTAATTTCATAAAATTAATTGGGTAGCTTTCTATCTTAGTTTATACAATAGAAAAGTTTACATAAATCTTTATTTCCTAATAGCACAAAATACTCACCAATAGGATTATCTGTTTTAAGAAAAATTTGTATGCAATTATTTGAAAGCATTTTCTACTTCATTAATGGTTACTTAGGACATTCATTCATTTACTTACAAGGCTCAAATTTATTAGGATCATTGTAAACATGCCATAATATATACAGTTTTAAAATTAGATAAAGCCATTACCACATTTATATTTATTTTTAAAATTATACTTATTATATATTTTAATATCTATGATTTCAGTTTCTTTTTTAAATTTAGATTTTCACATATTTGACATATTTAAAGAGCTGGTTCTAGATTTCCTTATTTTCTAATTAATTTCTACTTTTATCTTTAATATTTTCTTCCTTATTATCTTAAGTTTGTTTTATCCTTGTTCTTTTAATTTTGGTACCATTCATTACACTTGCTTTTCCTTTTTAAATGATGGCTATAGATGATACCTTGAATTTGTTTCCAATTACACTATAGACTACATTTTCTAAGTTCTGAAAGAGAACCTTCTAATTTTATTTTTTAAATAGTAAATAATACTGGTTTTGAGCTCCTCTTGAACCTACTATCTTTAAGGAGAACTTTTATAATCTCTGAGTGATTGGATTTTGTTTGCTTACTCATTTAATTTATTAGTAATTTCTAGTTTTATTGCTTTGTGGTCAAATAAAAGATCCTTTATAATTTCTACTTCTGGATTTTTAATATATTTTTTCTTTGTGAACTAATTTATGATCTATTTTGGTAAATTATAGATCCTTGAAAAAATGAGAAATTTAATTTGTTTATACGTTTTATATAGTTATTTCATCTGTGTTTACTAACATTTATTTTTTTTCTACTTGACCTCAAATGCAGAAACAAATAAGCTTAAGCCCCTCAATACCTGTCTTTCTGTAGGCTTCCTTCTATAACTACTATTTTCTCAGATCATATCTTGCTGCTGTTTTTTGCAATATGTATTTTTGATTCTGTTATTAGAGATCTAAAATTTTGTGACTATTACATCTCATAACTGAGTGTTCTAACAAATAAGTAGTGACCTTAATCCTCCTTTATGCTTTTGGAATATTGGAAGGTGCATTTCCTTAAAATTAATATAATCAATAATATAATTTCTTACTTTTAACATCTCTATGCTTGATAAAGAATAAAATAAAAAGATATGTGTTCTTTTGTTTTAGGCATATCCATTATAAGAAGCATATCACTGAACTTTAATTTTTAAACCAACATGAGACAGAAACACATTTACTTTTTTTTGGTCATTTCTGATATACTTGATTTTAACCTCTTTCATCCTGTTTCAAAACTTTAAAAAAATTTCGCTTGTTATTTGTTTTTTATCTCGTGTTACAGTGCTAAGGCTTACAAATTTTAAATAAATTAATATTATGAGTATTTGGCTATTTCAAAACCCATTGTACCCAGTGTTTCGCTTTGGAGGACTGGCAATCCAGTTCTCACTGAATCAAGTGGATGAAGGCATGATTTCCTCTAGCCCTTTAATTTTCTTAGGAGACAGGAGGAACTTGGATAGACTTTCCCCTCAATTCAGCTCCATCAAAATTATAAATAGTAGAAATTTCTTTTATCCTCTCTAAATTGAACAAGGAAGTAAACTATTAATAGTTTTTGTTGTAGTATGGTTTTTTTTTTTTTTTGTGGGACCCTCGCCGGCAGCCGGGGAATGAACCGGCGCTGCAGAGGCTGCGGGCAGCCTCGCAGCCCAGCGCTCAACCGCTGTGCCACCAGGGGAGGCCCCATCATTTTTTTCTTAATCTTTCTAGAAACTGGAAGATTAAGGTAAGATTTTGCAGAAAATAATTTCTATGTTGGTAACCTTTATAAAAGATTCCATCTCTGGAGTCGCTGGCTCTAGGGAGCAGTTTTGTGATTTGTAGAAGTAACATGGAACAAAGAGTTCTAGAAATACATCTACAATTCAGACTCAGTAGAAATCTCATAAAAACTCTTTTACTATAGTAGAAGAAAGCCTGATGTTATTTCTGAAAAGCTCAAAATAGCAGGTATGGGAATACTCCACCAGAGTAAGGAAGCTTAGAAACACAAATTTGTCTTTAGAGATTGCGCTTCATGATAGTATTGAAAATATATAATAAATATAATTAAAAATGTAAACAGAAACACAGTAATGGTTTTATCTAATTATAAAATGTAATATACCAGTGACCACCCTGATGTGAACATGAGGATAGTGGTTTTTCTTTGCATAGTTTCTAGCTGGGGTTGTAACTGAGAATGAACTGAGGAAGGAAGGACACGTTTCCTGCAAAAGTGCTTAACGGAGAGTTAACACAGTTATGGAAAATCGGGGAATGGGGAGCTACCTGTATTTTAGTTTGTTCACTCATTCAGTCTTTCATTCATTCAATAAGTGTTATAGTGCAACTATCACAAACCAGGCACAGCATCAGTTGCTGGGTGATAACACCCATAAACAAAATAGATCACTGGTGGGAAGTTACCCTTTCGGTGGAGTTTTTAGTTGCATCCTCAGGGCAGTGGTGCACCTACGGTGAGCAGGTCTGTGACTGTGGGAATTCTTTCCAAAGATCGCAGCGGTCACTGCAACTGGGTGGCAGGTCTAGGGTACATGTGCAGATTCAGCTTTCCCAGAAAGAAGCATGTTCTAACAATCAGACTTGCATATGGGAAGAATAGCCTGCCTTTTGGGGTGTTAAGTTCCCTGCCAATAGAATGAGTCAAGCTGAGGCTCTCAAGACACTGTAGATGAAGTCTCAGAATTCACCAACAGGAAGTTCAGGCTCTTTGAAGACAGCTTTGTGTCTCATTCAGTTTTAGAGTTGGTGCCTCACAGTACCTGGCCCTTAACAGGTATTTGATAAAGCCTTGGCAGGTAAGAAATGGATGGGTAATGTGGAAGGGACGTTGTATTAGAGGATCTCCCAAAGCCTCTGAGATGCAACAATTTTGTATTGTGAATGCCCAGAGGGGACCCAAATAAAGATTCTCAGCCTCATCTCAAAGACTGGCAAAACTCACCGTGCAAGGTGGCTGCATCCACGGCTCTCCATCCACTTGCATGGGTAGCAGCTTGTTCGTCCTGGTACACAAGAACCAAGAGAACACAGTGAGCTTCTTGGAGTTGGAGAATCAGGGAAACAGAGGTGGGAAAATCCTATCGGTCCACCTAGGAGTCATTCTCTAAGACTTTCCCTGGGCTTGTTAAAAATAAGTGTTTTGAGTTCAATTCAGGTGTACTGACCCAGCAGGGGTGAGGGTCAGGGGTCTAATTCTGTTGCTCTGGTCCTCAGGCCCTGCTTTGAGAAATATTGCCCTGGGTGAGCAGCAAATCCACAGAAGTCTGTGGAGCAGGGGCCAACCAAATATGGCAGCACCACAGCCAAGCAGATCACAGTTAAACAGTCAGCCGGAGGGCCTGCAGATCGTGCCAAAACTCCACAAAATGGGAAGGGTTATGAAATGGGAAAGGCCTGGTTTCTATGTTGAGTGAGAGGTTGCATCACATCCATGAGGTAACGTCTCCAGCCTGTACAAGATACTGCTCAGGTCTGAGTGTGTCTTGCCTTGTCCCAGATCTTAACCATCCCTCCAGAACAACAGCACACTCTGTGGGCCTGGCTAAACTGAGAGAATGGGTCATTGGGAATATTGTCTCCAGGAGTAGAAGAAGCGAGGAGAGGACAGAAATGTTGTTTGGGGGCTTGGGATAAAGTTTTTCTGGTATAGGGATTCTTAAAAGGAGAGAGCGAGCCTTCTGATTTCCTTTTGTGGAAGACGTGTGAATTCACATCACATTGCCTTTGGGAGAAAAGGCAGGTCCCTTCAGAGGCCTCTGGTCTGGGCGAGCAGGGAGCAGTTGCCACCCACTGACCAGGAAACCCTTACCTGGATTTGGCATCTGCCCTGTTTTCAAAAATACAGAACGAGGGAGGTAGGCTGTGTTATGATGTCGATGATTCCCTGACTGACCCCGAGGATATTTAATAATGAAAAACAGTAAAGCTAATAATAAAACAAATAATAAGAAGAGAGGCATTTTGGTTTTTGGGACTGAAGAGCGTATCTGGGAAGTGTCCAAAAGGATGGTGGTTTTTTTTTTTTTTTTGGTCCTCTGGAATACTAATGGGCTGGACCTACTTAGTGTTGAAGTAATGGAGAATGGACAGAGAATGAACAGTTCATTAACCTGTCTAGATTAATTTGGAAAACAGGGGTCCTAGTACTACTCAGTGAGAAAGGGGAGCAAACCTTTGGGGGAATGATAGGAAAGATGACAAAGAGATTACAAAGACAGGGAATGAAGAAAAGGGGTTAGTGGGCTAGACCTTTAACTAAGAGATAGCAGGGAACCAGCTCTGGAGACCTTTCTATGAGATATAGGGTAGCACCAAAGTCAGAGTTTCCCCAAATGTGTTCTGGAACACTTGCCCAACAAGTTCTGTGGTCAAAGGGTTCTATAGTCAAATAATTTTGGTAAATGTATATTCTGTGATTCTCTAGGACATCTGAAGGCAAACCAATAGACTGATCTATAGAAATGTAATGGAAAAATAAAGGGGAAAAACTTCTGGAACAATTACTTGGAGAAGAATCTGTACCTAATTTCATTGATTAAATAGAGGCAACTGAAATCAGTGTTTCCCTCCATTAGACTCCTCCCCGTTGGGAACCTGCATTGGCCAACCTGTGGGATCCAGCCCCAAAGAATTTTCATCCTTTTAGTTAATTTTGCCAGATTTGCTAATGTTGATTGTTTAGCTCTATAAGCCTTGCAGGAAATAGTATTTTGAAGGTCAATCCAAGAAAAAGCATAGCCGAGAACCTGGTTTTTGTCAGAGCATACCCTCTGACATAGAGCCAACATCTTAATTTTTAAAGATGTAAAAATTCAGGAGGTTGGACCTCTGGTTCTCTGGACTTCATAATCTCATACTCCTGTGTAGAGAATTTCACCAATTCATTCTAAGAGAACAGCAAAGTGGTTGCGGTGGAACCACTAGTTGATAGATTGGGTGGTTGTGTTATTTAAGTTTGGGAAGCATTCATTGTAAATGTTATCAATCTTCTGTCCCCCACTTTTCCTTCACAGAACTTCAATGATGGCTTCCTTGCTGTTGTCTATAAGGATGTTATGGGAGATGGGAGACGAGGAAGCTGCTGGGTAAGGAGGAAGCATACCTGACGGTGACAGAGGAGCACTGGGCGAGCCTCCTGCCCGCACTCTTCAGACCAGTATAGATCTGTCCCATCTCCATGGCTCCTTCTAGCCCCACCACTTCAAGAAGCTGGTCACTGAGGTCTGCAGAGTGAGACAAGCAAAGCAGTGCTTACACATTCCTTTGTTCCTCAGGCTGACTCTGGCCAGAAAATCTGGCCCCCAGATAGCCAACACAAAGGTCCACATCTTTTCATTTTCACCAAACAGCATTTTCATACTCACTCTGAATGCGGAATTTCCACAAAGATCATTCATGGTCAGAAACCCAGTTTTAGTGAAAAAAGGTTTTGATTCAGAATATTACTGTGCATTAAAAGGATGGTTTGGCATATTAAGAAATCTCTTCAAACACAGAGAAATACAAATGATGAACCAGCTCTTTTGGAGATAATTCTCAACCCTCTCTCCTCCCTCTCTCCCCCCAGTGCTGCTAAAGGCACACTGGTCTGGGATTAGGATAGGAAGGAATGCTGATGAAGGTCATTATCCATAGCTGGATCAAATCTCACTTCTCTGAATGTCTGAATAACATCTTGACTCCACTGATGATGACTGATGGTTAATTAACCTCAAATTTGGCCTGTGGTAAGCCAGTGGTGAGCCAACCTTCTTGGACATCCTTGGGGAAATCAGTGACCTCTTTCAGGACACCAGGTGCCTAATCTGAGCCAAGGAAAAGAATATTTCACCTACACCAGATTATTCTGGGTCCACAGTAGGAAAGAGGACAGAAAATATGAGTCTCAGGCTTAGAGTCACATAGGATTGATGGCCTCCCACAGTGGCAATTGCTTTTGATTCAGCACCTGAAAAAGCCACCCCCCTCACTACCCTGCCCCAAGTTCCTGAGGTTTAGCTTATGCCTGCCTACTTTCTTGGGAAAGTAATGGCAGGATTAGGGTTGGATATTGGGCCTTATTTTTGCCACAGAACTTTTATTATTTAAAAAAGTAACAAAGTAAAAGGGCAAATTCTTAAAAAGCTTCCCTTCCTTTGCCTATCAAGACAAAAGCACTTTTTTCAGAGGTTGTGACTAATAACTAATACCCTATTAATATCCACAAACTAGAAAATTGTGTCTATGTTAATGTTTATTTAACAGATGACTTCTGTCTTCTAAGGTGCCTCCTGGTATAGTAGAACAGTGTTTGTTAAGATTGCCAAAGATCTATTTGGGTTTGTCTTTGCTTTTTTTTGTTTAGAAAACTAACTTTTGTTTAAAAAACATTCTTTGATGGATATATTTCTAATGAAGACAGCTAAACAGACCATTGGGCTGACCACAAATGTATCAACATTGTCACAGAGTAACCCTCTGCTGATTGCCAGTAAACATCAGTTGCCAACAGATTCACACATTGCCTTAGCCTTTCCATACAGTTTTCCCCACCCCCTACATCCATTCTCCTTCTCTGGTCCTCCTTGTTTCCGTATCTATGAAAAAATACTGTCTCCTTAAACTCTATCTCATTTTGATTTGGAATAAGATACCATGAAACAGCAATGTTTACTTAGGAGAATGCTCCAGGCTCTCTTAAAGAGTTTGGTTCCAATAAACAACAAATGTCTAAATCTCTAGTCACTTAATTAGTTCCTTTCTTATCAAAGAATATTGAATAACCATTGGATAATCTTAGCTTAGTGTACCATTTTAAGAGTGTCTGTGAAATCAATTGTGATTATGAAAGAGTAGGGAGAAGAAGAGGAGGAGGCGGTAGAGAAGATGAAGGAGAGGGAGAAGAGAAATGTATAGAGTGTATCTTGGGGCAAGGTGGTGGAGGAGGTATATTGGGGTAGGGAAAGGAAGAGAAATGGGAAGTAGAACTTTTGAGAAGTTTCTCTAGGGGCAGAGAGACAGATGTCTTGCAAAATGTTGCTCTTTGTACCAGGCTTTGGTATCTGACAGTACTGTGATAGTTCAATGTTTTCCCTCCTCAAACATTCCCTGGTAACAAAATGTTCTAAGAAGCAGGGGACTTAATAGACTCAAGTGTTTCAGCTTTTACAATGTCTTGGTCTTTTAACAAATTTTCCTGTTGAATGGCTTTAACTCTAGAGTTGTTATCACTTCCCACACATTACCTTGCAGCTATCACTTCCCACACATTACCTTGCTTCCTGGCTCTAGGAGAGAAGTAATGAAGGCTGATCTCATCAGGATGGTGGGTGGGTGGGGGGCAGGGACTCACACAAATGTGGGACTGAGGAGATAAATATAGGGGAAGGGGCTAGGGTCTTGGTATTTTTGTTGTTGTTGTTGTGATTTTGCCACTAACTTTCTTCTGCATGTTCCCTGGCATAAAGAGGCTAGGAGGACTCCTGTCTATTACTGAGAGAAGACTTGATTGCTCTTCTTTTTCTCTACCATTGCCTAACTGGTATTTCTTTCAACTTAAAATGCCTGCCAGGAAGTCCTGAAATAAAGAAATCTCATTAACTTTGTTTCCCACACTTACTGAACCATGACACCTCCTTTTGTCTGATACCTATAAACAGTCCATAGTAGTTTTATGCTTTTTGGGAGTTCTGACATCAATTAAGTCTCTTTACTTTATCTATCACAGAGAAACACAGGCACACATTAAATCTAGAGTTACAATGAAGTATAAGAAAGTGAAAGTCAATGTCCAGACACACAGAACAACTAACATCCAGAACTTAGAATCCAGGATCAGGACATCTGGTATACCAGGTGTCTATTTTACATTAGGTACCAATGATTCAGAGTGTGGTTTTGGCAATTACAGTCATTTCCATATTGTCTTTATGCACCTCAACTCACTAGTGTTTAAGATGTAATGTTTATGTGTCTTAGAAAAACAGAAATTCACGTATTTATTCATTCATTCATTCAACTGAGTAGCAACCAAATGCCAGAAACTATGCTAAGAACTGGGACTACAAAATGTTCTATTTTTGAAGAACTTTAGACCAACAGGAAGAAACAAAATTAGTTGTAGAAAATGCTTTCATTGGACGATATGAACAAGAAAGACTGAGTAACTGATTCTGACTAGGAAGTTTATGGAAGGACAGATATTTTAGGAAGGACTCGAAGGATGAATCTCAAGGTAATTTGCTGGATTAAGAAGGATGTAGGACCTTCCAAGGACAGGGATGATCATTTGTAGTGGTGAACAGTTACAGGATGCATAAAGAAATTAATTTAACAATAAATCCACTTGGCAATTTCACTGGAAAAAGAAAAAAATATTTATCCTTATGGAGAATTACTGTCCAGAGACTTTTTTTAAAAGCCAGAATTACAAAAAGGGGCCCCTGGTTGGGCACAAGCTTGTTGCAAGTGGAAAGCTAGGCATTTCAGCACTGCTATTGGTTACAAAACTTACGCAGTGCTTTGAGTACAGAGAACACTTAATACATGTTCTCCAAGAAAAAAAAGAATGGGAAAATTGAAAAAGGAGAATAGGAAGCAAAGGAGGAACAGCAAGGACAATCATAACATTTCTGATCTGGTCCACTGGGTTCAGCCTCTTGTCTGTGATTTTATAAGAGCAAATCTGCTTATGTCATCCCCAAACCAAAGCTTCAGTGGCACCAATTAAGTGCTGGGAAGAAAAGACAAAAGTTATATTCTTTCATACATAAATGAAAAGTGTAAATTGGCAGAAAGTTTTTTTCAGAAAGACATTTGGCAATCAGAATCTAAAATTTTCATACTATTGATTCATTAAATTCATTCTTGTTATTGATCAAAAAAATCATTAACAGAACCTAAGATCATATAAATGTGAGCATTGTGGCATCTTTTATAAAAGCGAAATATACCCTCTCCCCATTTCCACTGAATGAGAATACTTAAATAAATTATATGATAGCCAATTATAGGATTTTATACTACCATTAAAATATTTGCAAAATTTCAAAGATGCTAAATATGTATATGCTATAATGTTAAATGTGAAGGCAGGATATAAACATACTTATATGGTATGCTTTCAAATATGTAAGAATATGTATAGGAGAAAAGGACAATTTTTTTTTTTAGCTTTTTTTTTTTTATAGAGGCATGTTTTATTTATTTATTTATTTATTTTTTTTTTTTTTGTTTATACATGCACTGGGTACAGTCAGAAGCACGGGAGGGTGAGAGAATTCACCAGAGCCAGAGCGGGGAGCAGAGCAGGCAGAAGGACCGAAGTACACTGCTGAGGGGAGCAGCGGGCGGCAGGAGAGGTCTGCGCACCATGTGGGACCCTCCTCAGGTGGCCGGGGAGCAGCCGGGGATCGAACCGGCGCCGCAGAGGCCGCAGGCAGCTTCGCGGGCAGCGCTCAACCGCTGCGCCACTGGGGAGGCCCAGGACAATTTTTTTTTTTTTTTTAAAGGACAAATTCTTGTATGTGGTGAGTTCTGGGTAGATGAAAGGTGATTTTTTTTCCTGCTTTATTATTTCTAGGTGTTTTTTATTTTCTATAAGTATGTATTAAGGCTTTAATTGAAAAAAAAAATTAACTGTTCTTCATAGCTGTAAAGATGATAGAAACTCCTTGGCTTGATGTTCAAGGCCCAGCCCCTTCTGGCAGAGGGCTGCCTCGGCGGTTTTATTTCCAGACACTGTACAGCTAGGAGCCTGCTCCAAACCTTCAAATAGTATGCAGTTCCCACTAAATCCTACTTTTTCCTTCCTTTGTGCCTCTAGATATGCCATAACCCTGCTTGAAATGTCCTCTTCCACTTTGATCCATCAACATTCAGCTCAAATATCAGCACCTTTGAGAAGTCTCCCGGGACTCTCATGCCTGCAATTTGATTTAGACACACCTCCTCAAACTTTCCCAGGAGATATGGTCAAAGAAAGAACAAGGGGGTTGGTGTATTGGCTATGGGCAGAGAGGGTTACTGTAACACAGGGTCTAGGCTGAATAGGGCAAGAGATGAAGGACTAGATGAAAGGGACAAACCAAGTAAGAGATTTGATGAGTTCTAGGAACAGGTGTTCTGAACCAGTGGGAGGAAGAGGGTTACAAAGAAGTGCTAAGAACAACTTTGTAGGTGATATGTTTTGCCTGTGGTCCCAGAGGTGGGTGGCTAAAGTGGAGGATGGTTGATGGGGAACTTA